GAGAGAGAGAGAGAGAGAGAGAGAGAGAGAGACAGACTAACAGCCTAATCCTCTTTCTGGCCAAAAAACACCACACCCCAGTTGTGGATAAATCACATCTGCAGCTGTACACAGTGGGTCACTGCTGGAGAGGTTGTGTCTGTGCATGTGCATATGTGAAGAAGAGAGAGGAGTGGAGGAGTGAGAGAGGGGTGGGGGGGGGGAGACAGACGAGAGGAAAGCAAGGAAGAAAATAAAATAAAAGAAAGAATGTCTGTGTCCAGTGATGACAGCAAACAGCTGATGAAGGTCACACAGTTGACAGTTCGACGAGCATTCTCTGCAGGCATTTTTATTTGACATGCTCTAAGTTAATTTATCAGAACATCTGGGTTCAGAGGCAGGAAGTGCATACAGGCTGCACACTGTGTCACCCTGATTTACGGCTGTAAAATGTTTCACGCGTCCAAGAAGGCTTCATTATTCACCTCTTGGATCTATCTGGAGTTACACTATACAACATATGCTCTGACGTCTGGGTCAATGCTCAACCAGCAGGTGATTAGGAGTTGACATATGTAGAACCGTAGGTGACGAGACACTTTTCACCATTTTCCCAACGGAATAATTCATGGAGCTCGATGAAAATTATCAGTCACGTTGTGGAAACTGATATCTTTGAGTGTGTGAAATTTGGTACAGCTTGACTGAAATTTGACTGTTGGGTTTTGGCGGAGGTATGAGCTCTTAAGAATGCCATTTTAGTTTGTACTGAGAAGTTATGAATGTTACACACTAAGCATTAGCCAATAATAGACAGGTGGTCACCATCATGGCTGTTGGGATTCCCACAGTGGGTCACAGGGTAAATCTACCTTGAGCAAGTGTCCCCTATTTTTTTCTAATACCTCTTATGGATGATTCCGTAGAGAAGCTACAAACTGAACTCGTCTTGAGAGTGATCTGGTCTGTGTGAAATATATTATTTGACCTTCTGATGCTGCATCTCTTCCACAGACCAAATGTGTGTGGCTCGAGGAACAACGCCTACTGCTGCCCGGGTTGGAAGACTCTGACGGGAGGAAACCAGTGTATTGTTCGTGAGTATCATCTCATCATTATTCCACCACTGCTCTGTCTGCAATAGCTTGTAAAATCACGTTAGATAGAACATTTAAAGTCACTGTTAGAGTGTTATCAATCTGGGATGAAATTATCAGTAGATTACTCAATTAGTTGAGTGAAAGAAAAAAAAATGCGGCTATTTTGATAATTGATAAAACATTTTTTACAAACCTCCTGGATTATTTTACGAGAGGTCAGTGAAAATGTTGAAAAACTCACAATGTTAAAGAAAGTGAAAAAAAAATCGTTGATCCGCCCCCTGATCCAGATCCGCACTAAAATGTAATGGTTCCTCCCTGACCCATATCACATCCCTCTGCCAAGTTTCATGGTAATCCATCGAGAAGTTTAAAAAAAAAATCCTGCTAACTCTCTGATAGACAAACGCATGTGGATGAAAATATAACTTCTCTTGGTGGAGGTAACGAGTAGATGTGTTCAACATGGCAAAAACATTTAAAAAAAAAAAAAAGTATTTAACGTTCTCTGGTTGTTTTCTGCTGAACCAGAGTGCAAAATGTTTTTAATGCCTGATATTGATGTCTGATAATGAGACTCATTTGATGGAGTTTGCAAAAGGTGTTTGATCACCCAGTAATTGTACCTTAGCAGTGGGTTAGTGCAGCTAATGGTGGTGATGAGCCAATGACATGAATTAAAAGAAGTGGGGAATTTTGGTCCATTTACTCTGGTATTCGGTCGGTGCCCCCCATCGCCCCCTCACTCTTTCTCTTACCCTCAGTAGACAGGAAGGTCTGAGAGGCTGTAGAATTGTGTGACTGCAGTCTGGCTGTTCGGCTGGCAGGATGCCTGTCGCAGCTCTAATGACATTGTTGAGCAGTGGGGTTCGGGGAGTAGGGGTCAGTAGCTGGACTCTACCTGATTGGAGCTGGGGACGGGGGACCATGCCAACAACATTCTGTGGGAAAGAGAAAAATGGAGCGATTAAAACACCGACTAAAAACATCAACTGCTGTGCATTTATGGCAACAGAACTCAAAGAAGAAAATAGCTCCACATCATTGCCAAGTGGGTCTCTGTAACTTAATCATGATGATGGTTAAAGGGAAGATTTGGCCATGTTTGGACCGAGTCTTGAAATGAGAAGTCAGTATGAGGTCCATATCATGACCTAAATTCCACAAGATGTAATTCTAACATGAAATCCAAACCCTGCAGGGGACAGGCTCAAAAGCACCAGATACATAACATTAGTTTTCTCTCACGTACATTTAAGACAGGTCCTGGGGCCATGAAGCGAGCAGTGGAGTGTTATTTCATCTTGTATCTGACGGAGGACGTTTTTATGTTGTTTGATCGAGTGTCATGTTCCTCTTTGCAGCGATCTGCCGGAGTTCATGTGGAGATGGTTTCTGCTCCAGACCCAACATGTGCACCTGTCCCAACGGCCAGATCGCAGCATCCTGTGGATCCAAGTCAGGTCGTTCAGCCTCTCCCCATTGAATCTTGCTGTCATCTGCTGAATGGGAGAGTGGGTTTATGTAGTGAACATAGATCGGGGAAGATAGCCAAGAGATAAACAATTTTATGGCTTGATTTATGTACAAACTCTTTTTCACCACACCCCTGTCAGGTCAAGGTCAAGGTCATGGTGGTCTCACAAAGAATGTCTGCTTATCTTGAGCATGACATCCTAAGATCAGCTTGAAGGGACGACTTCATTTGGTGCAAACATTCACTTAGACTCAAAGATGAAGTGATTACATTTAGGTGGTCAAAGGTCGAGGTCACTGTGACCTCACAAAGCCCTTTTTTTGCCTTGCGAATGCTGCTTCTTCAACTTTTTATCAGTTACTTGGACTAAAACTTTCAGATCAAGTGATTATGTTTCAGTGGTCAAAGGTCACAGTGACCTTATATAAATCTGGAAAAAAAGCATCTAGAAATATGTACATGGAAACTTGCACTGGTTGCCGGAGGCATTGAACCGTAGTTTAAATTACGGAGCTCTAATCTCAAGACAAACATTTCATCATGCAGTGACAATGGCAGAGAGTGACAGATGATAGAGGGCAGGAAATATGCAGCCTTGTCACATCTTCTCTTCCATAGGATAGAAGTTAAAGATATTGTATTGGTTCAGATGTTTTCGGAGCCATTTGAATGTATTTTTTTCTTTTCTTCATAATGAGTACCGAGCACCAAACAGCATGGTACAAAAATATGAGACACCAAAGCCAAAGAATCTCCTGAAATCATCCCTGAAAATGTCCTCAAGATTGCAACAATTAATATATGTTGCAATCATGATCTGGCAGATAGCTTTCAGTCTTGAGGGTTGGTGTGTGTGTGTGTGTGTGTGTGTGTGTGTGTGTGTGTGTGTGTTTATGAGTCGATTGGGTGTGTGTATGCTTTGGAAGACGTCCACAGTCAACATCTCCATGTTCTCTCGGAGCTCGCAGCCCTTCAGCCTAATGTGCTCATCTGTTTGCAATCCATGAATTTTTAGGAAATTTTATCTTAGCAAAACTTTAAAGAAAGACATTTTGTTTATGTTGGAAACTTAATCTGCAGCGTATGTGTGTGCACACTGAATTTAACACTTTATTGCTCTGTGTGTGTCTGTGTTTGTGATGTTTTGCCCACAGTCCAGCACTGTAATATTCGTTGTATGAACGGGGGAACATGTGCTGAGGATAACTGCCAGTGTCAGAAAGGCTACGTGGGAAACCACTGCGGTCAACGTAAGGATCATCCTGAAAGTCATTATATTAGATTTATTTATGACAAATATATCCTGTAAAACCTCCAACATTTTTCCTTTTAGAATACTAATTTGCAAATGCTAAAAAAAAACAACTACAAAATGGTGGACATGAACATAAACATTAGCATGTTAACATTATCACTTGTATGTGTGTTCCCATGCTAGCGTTAGCATGTTGCACAAAGCCCCACAGAGCTGCTGTCACGGACGATTAGTGAGGTTGTAGTTTTTGCTCAATCTTTTTAATAATAATATTAACTTTAAGAAACTTACAACGATTTGACCCAATAAAGCGCAGTCTGCTCTGATTGGCCAGCAAACGGCTTCCGGCGCATGACTCTCGCTTTACCTGGCTTTGTCAGGGGGCGTGCCAGACTAGTCTGGCATCAGGCAAATGCTGGGTCACTTGTGACTTGACATCACGATCCCCACGGTACTGCGGACTTTGGACTTAACTTTGCAGACCTTTTACCTACATAAAATCCCACATGACACACTAGAGATAAGAAAAATGTATTTTTGTCTTCATGTCATTTTTTTTGCGACGTCATCGTCCTCCCATGATCTCTCTATCTACCTTAGTGGCAGTAATGTTCTCATAACCAACATAAATTATGGTGAAACTAGAAACATAAGACCCAGGTTTTACAGTAAAAATGTATTGAGTCACAAAATTGTCCTCATACAATTCTTTGATTTTCTCTTGATGCACAGCGGTTTGTGAAAATGGCTGCCTTAATGGAGGAAGGTGCGTGGCTCCCAACAGATGTGTCTGCACCTATGGCTTCACCGGGGCTCAGTGCGAAAGAGGTAACAAGCGCCCCACTGCAGGACTCAGCACTTTCTCTGACTCATCTTACATCACTCTCTCTCTCTGTGCTCTACATTCACGACTCACCACTGCTAAAGTGTGGGTTTTCAAAGCCACACGTGCCGCTCGTGTGAAAACGTGACTCGATGTTGAATGGCGGTTGTTATTTTTGTGACTTGAGGACAATTCCTGCTTAGTCATGCCACCGGCTCCAGGAATGTGGTTTGTTGTGGAACACATGCAAGTGAAGCTTGAGCTCAGGAGTGACCATTATTTTCCACATCTGCTCTCAAACTACGCTCTGGGGAATGTAATGTCTTTCTAAATATGCACTGTTTGTCAGGCGAAGACCTCCCAACCTCCTGTGGTTGCTCTTTGGCACATGTGAGCAAAGGCTCCAAAATATACAAGCACACGCAAACTGAGTGGCCTGCACTGTTTGTGAGTCAAGTGTGCATGTATACAGGCCTGTGTTTTGTGTATGTGCTGTGGCAGTGATGACCACAGAGGTCAAAGGGGGTGACCTTTTAAAGCTAATATTTGGACTGACAGCAGAGCTCCTAATTAGTTGCATCCGCTTTAACGAGGCTTGAGGCTTGTCAGTGCGGTCTGGCTGATTATTTGTTTGGTATACTTTTGTATTTTTAACACTACAACTAATAGGACACTATCTGGTTGCCTGCTGGGTTAACATCAGCCTTATCTTCTGAAGCAGTCCTGGAAATGTTGTGACTTTGGTTTCCAGTCTTTCCTGTGGAAGCTTGGCTAAAGGGTTTGTGAGACTGTTGAGGAATTCATATTCAAAGCATTTTTGATCAGCACACACTATCTTCTAGATGTTCCTACTTTCCAGGGAACACGGGGAACCTCATAAACAATCTGCTTCTGCGTTTTCTGTAATGATCCCTGAGGAATAACTGATATGGACAACGAATTTCACCAGATCTGTTTTTTAACGCTGATTCGCTGTGTAGGGTGACAAGCACTGCAAACTCACTGTAGTTTCTTCTCTCTCCTAGTGATTTTTCTATCTATCTATCTTATCTATCTATCTATCTATCTATCTATCTATCTATCTATCTATCTATCTATCTATCTATCTATCTCTCT